TAGCACATGTCTAACCAAAGTGATTAGCTTTCTTGATTTTTTCATCAAATTTTCATTCTTCAAATGAAGTTGCTTTTGTTTGTATCACCTTTGGCATTGGTTTTTTGGCTTAATCATCATAGCTCTTTTTGTCACTTACATAATGATTATATGGATTCTTCTTTCACTTGAAGAATCTTCTTTCAACCTTTTTAATGCATAACTAGGGTTTTATTATCATTGTTTTGATCATTAGGTTAAGATAAGTGTTGCCCCTATTTTCTTGAAAACCAATTATTTTGCTTGTACTTAGAACTAGTAAGATAGGGTTAAAAAAAACTAAATTTTATGGTCTTGCCTAACAAGTTTGATTAAGAATCCATGCTTATTGATGCTAAATTTGATGCCATAATTTTTTTCTCAAATTTAATTTTCCATCATTGTGGAGTTGCATGATTCAAAGTACTTCTCAAATGGATGACTAACCAAGTAATGATACTTATAATAGTTGGGTATATCAGCTTTCTTAAGTTGCGTTATTTCTAGCAACAGAATCAACTCGAATTTTAAGAGTTTTTTTTCCCTCAAGAAAGAGCATATTTAGCCATTGAGACTTTTTTATATTGAAGGCTATCTTAAGAAATTTAATATTCACAGTCATTAACAGTTTGCTTTTTCCTTTATCGATAAAAGTTTTACCCCTTTTACGAGTACCTTACTTGTCTTTGTCTTTATTTGGCTTTTACATAAAAGGTCTTTGATTTTTGACAGTTGTCATACATGTGGGTAGCTAATTCTTCAAAGGTTTAAGGTTTGATGCCTTGAAAAATGTAGCATAATCCTTATTTCATGCATTGTATACACATATTAAGAGTAGATGACTCAAATAATCTCTCTTTTTGCAATTAAGGTTTAGGTTTCTCTACTTATGGATATAATCAGCCACAAGTTCATTTTTCCATTGGTGTGTACTTATGAGCTTAATCAAGCACACTATGCAACTAGTATTATAGAATTGATTAAAGAATTTAGGTTCAAGTTATTCCCAGCTATTAATTGTGCCAAACTTAAGATCGGTATACCGATCAAATGCATTATTAGACAAAATACTTCATGTTGGAATGAATTTCCTTTACCATTAAACTATTGAAACTTTAGAGGTTGATAAATCTCAAACATCTTTGGATGATCAATCTTTTAAGAATATGGCTTAGGGTGTGTATGAAGTTGACTAGTAGTAAACAATTCATTGAGCTTTATTGAGAAACCTTGGCAACTTTCATGTTGAAATTCTTATTGTAATCTTGGAGGATTAATTTTTATTTGAAACAACTAGTTGTTTTCCAGGTTATTAATCTTCTTCATCATACCAACAAGCTTATTATCTTTTTTTTTTATGATGATTGGTATAACATATTCCATAGGTTTTGAAAGAAGCACAACTAGTGCTTCCAATGATGTAGTTCTAGTTGTCATAACATTTATTACTCCAAAATTGGTTTTTGAAAAAGATGGTGAAACTGAATTATTGCTTGCATTTTATTCATTAGATGAAACAAACTTTTTAGCTGAAGATTCTTTGAAACCTTGATTTAGAGAAGAAGTATCATAGAGTGGATTTTGACTTAGCACTAGAATAGTTTGAGCATAAATTTCTTTAAGAGCTTTTGTCTTGGTTTTAATGCCATAAGGGTGAGTAAGAACATCAGAGCTTGTTAACGAACTGGGGTAGACTGTAGGATTTGCTCGAATAGGCTTGAAAACTGGCTTGGTTGCAAAGTTTTTTATGTTTGGGATCCATTGTAGTTTGAAAACTTAAACTTTAAAGAAAAGAGATGAGAGGCGGAGATTGTCCCATTAGGTGTGCTAGAAATTTGTAAATACAAATTTTGTGTCGAAAATATGACAAGGAAAATTGGAGAAAAATAATAATTTTATTTATCAGATTTATGGAAATTACAATAGTTAAGAATTCTTAATACAAAGAATAATCATCTTATTCATTTCTTCATAAAATTCACTTCAAAGGTCTAAAAGATTTGATCTTGAATGAAATAAATTTGGCATTTGCTTCAAGGGTCTTACTGATTTATTCTTGAATTTAAAAAGTATGAACTTCACTTCAAGGGTATTTGAGACTTATTCTTAAATCAAATAAATACGAACTTCACTTTAGAGTTGTTAAAACTTATTCTTGAATGGAAAGAATATGGATTTCGTTTCAAAAGTCTTTGAGACTTATTCTTAAATCAAATGAATATGGACTTTACTTCAAAAGTAGTTGAAACTCATTCTTGAACCGAAGGAATATGAGACTTATTCTTAAACCAAAGGAATATAGACTTTGCTTCAAGGGTCCTGAGACTTATTCTTGAATGGAAGGAATATGGAATTCATTACAAGGGTCGTAGAGACTAGTTCTTGAATTGAAAGAATATGGGCTTCGTTTCAACAATCATAAAGCCTTGTTCTTGAAATAAAAAAGTATGGACTTGGAGTCAAGGGTCGCAGAGACTAGTTCTTGAATTGAAAATATTTAGACTTTGCTTCAAGGGTTATTGAGACTTGTTCATGAATTGAAGGAATATGGGTTTCACATCAAGAGTCGAAGAGATTCCTTTTTGAATTAAAAAAATTTTGAGATCCTTAACATCTTCGAATTTGCTTCTAATTTAAAGATTCTTGGATCTTAGTTCCCTTCTAGGGATTCTTGGATCTTGGTTTCCATCTAGGGATTCTTTGATCTTGAAGTGTTAATCTTTTGATATTCTTTCTTGAATTTATTTGTTGGAATTCTAGAGACTTTGTTCTTTAGATCTTCCATCTTGAACTTGTGAAAGTTTTAAAGACTTTGATTCTTCAAATTTTCTCTTCTTCGTTAGTCTTTTTTATCTTTATTCCCAAGAACTGCCTTTTTTATCTTTAGACCTTCACTCCCCAAAAATTATGTTATTGATCTTCAAATCTTCATTATTCAAGTTTTCTTCTTAATCTTCAAATCTTCATTTTTGGAACTGTGGGAGGTCTTTGGCCTTCTTTCTCCTTAAAGAATTCTCTTCTAGTCTTCTTCCACTTTAGAGAATTATTCTCTGGCCTTCTTTCTCGCCCCAAAATTGTCTTCTAGTCATGCTCCCTCTAGAAAAGTTATGTCAACTGATTATGAGGAGCTCTCTATTTATAGTGGCAGGTGATGCTAAGTGAGAGAGTTCCAAAAGAATTTAACCTCTTTGGTTTTATCTCTAAATAATTGTAGTTTAATTAGAGATAAAAGCCAATGACTCATGGATGGAATTTGATTGGATGATCCATAAATCCTTGAAATTTGATTGGCCAAAATTTAGATTTTATCTCAAAATTATTTTAATTTAATTAATAGATAAATTATATGATTCATGAATGAATTTTAATTGGCTAAATCAAGTGTTTTTATATTCAATTGCCAAAGGAAATATTTAATTAATTAATTAATGATATCATTGTTGCACATGACAATAAATAATTGGTCACTTAAAAATTCTTTAATTAACTAATTAAAAAAAATTTTCTCTAAACATGTATCAACTTGTGATTGGGCAAAATTTTTCTCCCTTTACAATGTTACATGGCTGAAAAACTGAAATGGATATTCAAAGTGTATGACTGTCTTGTTGTTATAAGAGAATCGATCGACGTGGTCTACAGACTCAAAACCCACAAAAATTCTCCATCAAATGCATTGTTAACCTACCTCTTTTAACAAAACTATATATAAATTGTAGTTTTTGGGATGAGTCAATAATCTGCTGGCCTTTATTTATTTATTTATTTATACAACTACAGGTATATCTTTTTGCCTTTATTATTTGCTTTTGCTTTTTCCTTCATGGACGATTTTTTGAGTTGGTTCTGAAGATGACAGCTCCTTTGCCCAAACAAATCCTCAGGTTTTTCGTGTCCATGAAGAGAAATGAATAGACTTCGCTTGGGAAACTTGCCATTGATCTTATTAATTTCTATGTTTGTATTTTTTTATTAAAAAATCATGGTTTAAAGATAAAAGAATATTATAAATATTGATATTTGAATTTTAAATTTATTAAATATTATAAAATTATCACGTAAATCCATAAACTAACTAATTAAATTCTAAACGTTAAATTTCTATTTTCACATATGTATTTAATGCATAAAAAAGCATGTTGATATATATATATATATATCATGTATTGTTATTGTCAAAGAAATTTATCTATCCATCAACTATTATATATATAAATAAATACATATTTATATGTATATATATTCTGTTGCATTTTATTTAAGGTTTGAAAAAAATTCTTAGTATTCGGTTCCTTAAATTGACAAATCGAAATCAAATACTAGAATATATCTTTATCAATGCCACGGTATGAATATTTAGTTCAATCTTTAAATTATGAATTTTTAATTTAAAATAAATATTAAAAAATGTTGTAGCTACTTTTCCTATCCTTCTCGTTAACTATATAATAAAAGAATAATTTTATGTAAACATATCATATATAAATATTAAACTATAACATACATGTTTGTCACATGAATGTTTACGTGAACAGTTCTTTTAAATGACACATTAAATGACACATATGATAGTATTTTAGAAAAGTAAGATAACTTCTTTTAAATATAAATTAGATAATTTTAAATTTATTTAAATATCAAAATTATTCAAAGCAAAATTAAAAATCAAATCAATCTAGAGATATATTTTTTAAAATTAAAAATCTAAAATATGGATTTTATTTTCTTAATTTAGTTGTTCACTAAATAACCTTTTTTAATAAATTATTTAATTATCAAAATCTTTCAAATATATTTAAAAATTACAAAAATTAAATTTTTCAAATCTTTTTACAATCTTTTTTATCTTAATTAGAATAAATAAAAAATTTATCTTTTCAAAAATTTACATAAGACATTGAAAGTTCAAACAATTTTTATGTTAATTTATTTTTTAAAAGAAATGGTCATCTGCATTCATCCAGTAAAAAGATTACATTGAGTCATAATAGCCTTATGAATAATCGGTGGGTATTCATATACCCAGTACAGGTGCCTTGACAATCCCAGCCCAACCTAGCTAATATATGGGCAACATCATTTGCATGACGTCGCACATACTCCTCCCTAATATAGTTGAAACTTTGCTTCAGGATCTTAGCATCCTCCAGTATATTACCATTAGCAGGTAAGTCCTTATTTCCCTGATTTAGTTTGGATATAACTTTAGAAGCATCACCTTCTAGGATTATTGATCTGAAGCCTAGTTCCTGTGCAAGAGATATTCTAGCCACCGCAGCAATTGGCTCAACTAGCAGCGCATTCCTGATATCTTCAACTCTCTTCGCTACTGCTCTAAGTACTTCTCCCTTGTGATTTCGAACTCCAACCCCAATACCTCCCGTTGCAGTTTCGATGTTTAAGGCTCCATCAAAATTAACTTTAATAGCATGTGATGGGGGTGGTTTCCAGTGGGCAGTGCTTTCCCCTTGGTTCTCTGTTCTACATTGAGCTCTCATATATTCCTCCAAAAAATCAGTTGCAAATCTAGCCATGTCATCAGCATTTCTCATTTCACCATTCTTACCTAGAATATTCTTGGAATGCCATATAGCCTAGCACACTACAAGGCCTTTTTCAAAGCTATCCTTATCCACAGAGCTTAGCAAGCTAGTGATCCATCTCTTATCTTCTTCGTGTAGTTTGCAATTACACTTGCTATCACACCCTGAAGATAACCAAACTGCAATCGCCCTTTCACAGTCCCTTAATGCATGTAACAAGGTCTCCTCATGCATGTAACATTGTGAACATAGCATGCCTGCATTTATATAGCGCCTTCTCATGGTACGAAAAATAGGTAAGATACTGTGGTTAACCCTCTACCCAAACACTTTGATCTTTCCTGGTAGGGCAGCTTTCCAGATTCGCATCCAGCAACTCGCATTGCCCAAACTTCCCCCTTGGTCGTGTTGTAAGGCAAGCTCAGTTTGTTCTTTCCTTTTCTGTATAAGGAGATGGTATGCACTTCTGACCGTTAGTTCCCGTTCTTCTTCACACCCCACACAATCTCATCTCTGTGTTCAAAGTGCCCTAATGATATTCCACATATGATTTCAGCCACCTTCCTTTCAAAGACCATGTGAATAAGGTCCTTCTTCCAACTTCTCTGTTCATGTTCAATTAAACTTTGGATAGTAGCATCCGTCTGAAGATTATTATGTCCAGCTTGATCATACGTTAAAAATCCACTAGGCAGCATTAAGTCGCACCGTATGCAAATCTAGTACCCATCCCCAGCCGTCCACTTTATACCTGCTTTCAATAATTCTCAGCTCGCACATAAGCTCCTCTAAGTAAGTGATGGTGTCAATCCTAGTGGTGCATCTAAGAAATTATTGTCTGGAAAGTATTTAGCCTGTAGCATCTTATATAGCATGGTTTCCTTATTCCTTAATATCCTCCAACACTGCTTACCTAGTAGTGCCAAATTAAAGCATTAGAAGTCAAGGAAACCCAGTCCCATTTCGTGTTTAGACCAACACATCATGCTCCAATTCAGCCAGTGCATTCCCCTTATGTCTGTTTTAAAGTTCTACCTGTATCTACCTAATCAAACTATTTAATTTTTCACAAAGTCCTTTTGGTAAGAGAAAATAGTTCATAGCATACTCTAGGATTGCTTGTAAAACAGAGTTGATAAATATTTCCTTTTCGCCTTGAGAGAGAGTCCTCTTACTCTAGTGCTGGATCTGCATTTTCATTCAGTCAACCAAACTCCTTAAGGCTCGTCTTTTATTTCTCTAAACCTCTGAAGGAAGCCTCAGGTATTTTTCTGGGTCGTTAGTAGCATTTACCCATAGCTTATGCTTAATTAACTACATCTCTCGATTCATCAGAGTTATTTTTGTTGAAGAAAAGTAATGACTTCTCAAAATTAACTCGTTGCCTTGAACCCTCTTCATATTTCTGTAATATTAGCCGCACCCTTTCACTATCCATATTATTTGCTTTAAAGAAAAACAGACTATCATCCCGCGAAAAATAGGTGATTTATTTTGGGTCTAGATCTACTAGCTTAGGCATCCCCAACCCAACCTTTTCTTTGGTATTTTGATAGCAAAGTAGAGAAACCCTTTGTGCACATAAGGAACAGGAAATGTAAGAGCAGGTCCCCTTGCCGAAGCCCATGTTCTGGAGTAAACCTTTCAAACACCTTCTCGTTCACCACCATTGAATAGGATACTGTCTGAACACAATGCAAAATCAAACTTATCCATCTCTCATTGAATCCCATTTTTAACATTATTGATTCAAGAAAAAGCCACTCCACCCTCTCATAAGCTTTGCTATGTCCAACTTCAAAGCCGCATACCCTCATTGGGTTTTCTTCTCAACTTCAAAAAGTGTAACAATTCATAAGCTATTAAAATGTTAGCAGATATCAATTTTCCAGGAACAAAAGCACTTTGGAGTTCACTGATACAAACGGCATGACACTCTTCAACTTTTTGCAATAATTTTGTAAATAAAATTATAAAGACTAATAGGTCTAAATTGTGAAATGACCCTGGAGTTCTTGACTTTGGGAATTAACACAATGCTTGTATCATTTATATCTTGCATACTAGCCCCACCATTAAGAATAGACAAACAAAATTCAATAATATCAGAACCTACTATATGCCCAAATTTTTGATAAAACAATAAAGGCATACCATTAGGACTCGGGGCCTTTGTAGGGTGCATCCGTTTAACTGCTGCGACAATTTCTACTGGTCAAATAATTATTCATTTCCATAGAAACTCGGTTGTCAACTGCCTCAAGTATCTTACTGTAATTAGCTGGCCTTTGTGATTCGAAGAGTTTTGCAAAATATTAGATTACTACCTCCACTATCTCGGCCAAGTTCTTCTTCCAACCCCCAACTCATTCTCTAGACCTTTAATGCAATTCCTCATTTTTCGGTCAGATGCTTGGGCATGAAAGAATAAAGTGTTTTTGTCCCCATCTCATATCCACAAGACCCGAGATTGTTGATGCCAGTACGTTTCCTCTTTCTCTAGCAAACTATTCAATTCTGTGGGCAAGGTACATGCTTTCTGTCTAGCCACGTCGCATGGTGCTCCTATCTTAACATTCGCATACTCTTTAGCCACCCTATCTATTTCACATCGGAAGTTTTTGAAAGTTTTAGATTGCCAACCCATTAATGCGTCCCTTGTCTTATTCAAACGTTTCCTTGTCCCTACGTTGTCAGCTTTAGCCCAAACTATCTTAATGGCTTGCTCACACCCACTTTCATGCACCCAGATTGCCTCGAAGAAAAAACATTTGCATTTCCTCCTCCTCTCCTGCCCGTGTTTGCTTCCCTCTGTGTCCACTATCACTGCATTATGGCCCGACTCCCTGCACACTATACTTAAAATAGAATACATAGGAAACATATTTGTCCATCTCTGGCCCCCACAAGCTCGATCCAAAGGTTCTCTAATAGCTTCTTGTCCTTCCTCACATTCCCATATATACCATACTCCTTTAAACCCTAGATCCTCCAAACCAACATCTTCTAAAGCCTGTCTAAAGTTTCTCTTTTGTCCTTCAACCTTTTGTCTACCCCCTTCCTTTTTTGAGCCCCTCAATATTTCATTGAAATCGCCAAAGCATAGCTAAACCTTCTGTGAACTAGGTGCTATATTTATTAACATGTCCCATGAAGCATTTTTTAGACTCACATTAGGTTCTTCGTAAAACCCCGTTAGTCTTCATTCATTTTCAACTTGGTCAGCCACCTCCATGTCGATGTGGTATCTTAAGAAACTGAGTAGCTGTATAGATAGTTCTTCTTTCCACAACATCGCTAGTCCTCCACTTCTCCTTCTAGAGCTGATTCCGAACACCAAACTCATTTTGCACTTCCTTTTAATTCTATCAAGAGCTGTGTCTTTCAGTCTCGTCTCACTCAAAAATACAACATAGGGATCTTCTCTCTTCAGCATCCATTGAAAAGCGCGAACTCATAGGTTCCCAAGCCCATGAAATTCTAGGTCAAGCACTTCATTTATTTCGGGAGGCTTGGAAACCAGGACCCGTCGCTGGTACTAACGTTTGTTGATCATTTCCTGCCCCACTTCTGCTCCTTTTAATTTGGCTGTCAATGTCCATCAATAACGCTCATCTTCAAAAAGCCCACGTCGCTTCCTTTTCCCTAAATTAACTCATTGTGCATGATAATTCCCATTAACTGAAAGGGCCAATTTCTTCCATCGCCCCCTATTGCCCCCGCTTGTTGATGGAGTAATATTTTTCTTATTACCTTCTGGATCTTCCTCCCTTAGAATTGGGCCCTCATCCCTCACAGTTGGGCTTTGTTATTTTTCCCTCACTCTACCAGGTTGGCTTTCGATGTTTTGGCTCTTTGCGTACGTACCAATCCCCATTGGAACACCCAGCTGTTTCATTAAACTTTCTTCAAACACGTTGATAGTATTATTGCATGCATCCAACCTTATCACCTCCCTATTTGTTTTATCATTGAGAATATCCTCCAATATCACGACACCTTCTCCTTCAAAATTACCTCATATTTTCTTGCGATTTACTGTAACTTGCTTCGGATATCCTTCTTTTGATCGTGAAATTACAAGATTACCCTACTCGCTCACCGTCTGGGTTACTGTCACCTGGGAAGCTACACTCTTTCCCATTCTGTTCCGTTCTCCATCCATACACACCGGTGGTGGATTGACATATTTTTGGGTCTCCTACGACATTTTCATATTTGAGCTGGTTGCCTTGTTCCCAGATGGCCTCCTTTTCAATGGCGATATGCGCAGCCATTCTCCGTACTGCTTGAAACCTTCCGCCTCATCACTTGACTCTGCTTCCCTTTCACAATCAACATCAACATGACTTAATAATCCATACTCATCGAAGAAAATCAACAGCCCCTCATACTTAATTCTACCACAAAAATCATCAAATCCTTTGCTCCCCTTGATCATTACTTTCCTCCTTAAAGGATTCTGAACATCAATCTCTACCCGAATTCTTAAAAATTGAGCCCATTCACCTTTTTCTAAGCTACTGTCAGTGGTAATTAATTTGCCTAATTTCATCCCTATCACTTTTGCAACCTCTTGAGACCTCATGCCAAGTAGTAGCCCATAAATCCTTACCCAACAACATGCACTATTTAGACTATAATCTTGTGGTCTCAACATCGCTTTGTACGGCTCCATTAGTATCAGGTTCTTGTCAAAATACCATAGAGCTCCCTTCAAAACCCTATTTTGTCTACCACTTTGTTCAACTTAAATAGGAATAGATTATCCTCTAGTACAACAATATCCACAGATTTTGCTAACCTCCAGACAATCTTAAAGGTACTTACCATGGCTTCTTTGTTGAAAAGCTTGGTTGTCAAGATCTTTCCTACCATCCATTTATCTTCTTCACTCTTAGATGTGATCATGATATCATTTTCTGGTGTAACACTCTCCCTTTCTTCTTTTGTTGAGATTAGATTCCACCATATTCCCTTCAACTTGTCCTCCATCACTTTCACTTCACTGCTTTGCTACACTCACTCACTTACTAAAGACGAATATGGCCTTGAAGATCACCCCTGGTAATCTCAAGGAAACAAACATGTATCCTGCAAGACTAACTCTTCTTCCCGTAGACGAAGCGCCTGGAGAGACTATTAAATCTTTAAATAACAAGATCATAAAAAGATTATATCCATCTCATTTTTAATTATCAAATTTATATTTCAAATATATACAAAAAATTTTGATTTCATCTTTATCACTTATTATATTCATTTCAAATTAAAAAAATTAATTTAAAAATTATCTATTTAATCCTAATTGCCACTAAAGAGTTCTTCAAATTTAAGATTATAAATTTAATGTGTTATATCAGTTTTTTATTTTTTCAGTTTGCAATTTCTTTTCAAGATATATTCTATTATAATTGCAATTGATTTTTTATTTATAACTTTTTTTCCAAAATATCTTTTATTACTATTACAATTTTGTTCTCATGAACAATAATATTTTTTAATTTATTTTTTATTTTTTCACTTTTCTCTTAATTTATTTTTATATTTTATACAACAATTTAGTTAAGAATACAAAAATGAAAATATGTTAATACTTTTTTTATTATTCAATTCATCTTTCAATAATATATATGTTATTTTTTAAGAAAGGCATAATTATTTTTATTTGATATAATCTTGTAGGCGTATAAATATTATTGTATATAAAAATGATCTAAAGGGAAGATATATAATTTTCTTCTTACCATTTTCAGAAAGTTTATTTTTTAATAATAAGTTGGTATATATAAATTTTATATATGTTATAAATTTTAAAGATTTGAATATAATTTTGAAAAGAAACTAATTTACATGTATATACTCATATTAAATAAATAAAATTATTTCATATATCGTATGAGTCGTAATATAATATAATGTAACATAAGTATTTTTAAATAAGATAAGAAAGTATTTAAATCAATAATAACTTTCAAATTAGTTCATTTTGAAGATAATGTATGCTCATGGCGTATATTTTTAACATTTGGATTAAGAGAAAAGATATTCATATCAATGAAAAATTAAAAAATTTTATATATTGTTTTTAATAATTTATTTTAGTAGATCTAATGAATGAAAAAAATAAGTCAAAGAAAGAAAAATGATTTAATTTCATTCTTGAATTTATTAAAATTAATAGTCAAAAAAATGTGTAAAATTTTTAATTTTATACTGATGTAAATTAATCTTTTATCTTGGATTAATGTTAATCTAGACTTTTGGGATACAAGCCCTAAAACAAAAAAAAAAAAAAAAACTTTTGAGATACAAATTATTTGAATTGTTAATAATCACTTGATTTATTAATATAATATTAAATTTTAATAATTAAAGTTTAAATTTTAATAATCTAAAGTATTAAAAAAATAACTTGAATTACATGTATCATATTTATAAAAAAAAAATTATTTGCATTTGATCATAATTAAACCATTCTATGAATTTCTCAATCTAAAATTTGTTCTAATTGTTTGAAGTGTCTCAAAAATTTAATAATGCTAAATTTGATAAGTTAAAGGGCTAATTATTACCTTGTAAAAATTCAAAATTAACAAACATCAAATCTGAAATGTTCAAATTCAAACCCAAAATAAGTCAAACTGTGTAAAAGAACTACCAATTCAAACATAGAGAAATGACCTAATGCTGATTATTTGGTTTGGTTACCTACAATTTTGACTGAGTAATAATCATCTTCTTGTTTCGTTAACACCTTGAATTTTGTAGTTGGTCAATTTCAGCCTGGCAAGTAGGAAAGCGGCTAAAAGTCAATGTCTTAACTTTTAATAGCCGTTCTTTTCTTTAAAAAAAAAAAAAAAAAAACTTTTAATAGTCGCAGCGGGGGATCAAACCGGTTTAATATCCAATTTTTTAATTTAATCAGTTCAATTAACAGGTCCAACATGATAGAAATTTTATATATATTTTTTAAAAATTCTTAAAAATTAGGAAATATATAAAAAATAAAAATATATATAACCTTAAAACAACTAAAGAGTACTTAAAACACAAATTAAATATGAAATTTAAATGATTTTAATTTAAAATTTCCAATTTTACTGATTTTTAACTGTTTAATCTCGATTTCAATATAATCCAACTTCTATATGCTTCAGAACTGAATTACCTTGCAATTTTCGATCCAACCGATTTAATCGGCCAATCCAGTTCAATTTTGACAACATTGCTGGAAACCAGAGGAACAAAGCAATGGATGCAGGCAGACTCCCAATGCATCTAAAAATCAGCATATGCTTCTTCTAAATGAGAGTAATATTAATTTGTTATCTGCAGTCCAAAGAAAGGCGTATCGATGCATTCAAGGCAGTTGCACAAGGTAAGGTAATAGTAAACTCTCACAAATTTCAACCATTAATTTATGTTTTTATTTTTATCACGTCCTACAAAAACTCGTCTACTTGTACATTTTGTCTCGTTCTGTAATAATATACATTAAATATAATCCGAATTAGATAAATCATTCCAATATTTTAAGTTAAAGTGTAGATACATAATTTTTTTATTTTTTCACAAAAGATCATAATTTAAAAAAAATTAAATTTAAATTTTAAACATATTAAATGTTATTTTTAAAATTAATTATATTGATGTTAGGTATATATTCTAAATAAAATTAGTAATGGACCATCGACACTAAATTAAAATTCTTTTATCATCAAAATGAAGGAATTAATGGATTGAAGTAGGCTTGTTCTTATAAAAAAATTAAAATATTAAAAGAGTTTTTAAATATTATTATTTTATTTAAATATTTTTTATATTTTAATCGTATTAAAATAATTTTTTATTTTTTATTTATATCAAAATTCATTTTTATTTTAAATAAAAAATTTATTTACATTAAAAATTTATTTAAATACAAATTCAAAAATAAAAATTATTTAAATATAAATTCAAATTTAAAATCTTATTTAAATATAAAATAAAAAATTATTTAAATATAATAAAAATATAAAAATTTACTTAGATAAAACAGTAAAATTCAAATTTTCTTTTATTATTTAAAAGAAGCTTTTACAGAGAAAAAGAAACGCGTTTTCTCTTTTAAGACTATTTTGATTTTGCTGCAGTGTCAACCAATTATTGAACGAATGGCGAAAAAAAAAAAAACCAATAATGTACGAGCTGTCAGCAATTTAAATCACAGTCGCTTCATCATGTAAATTTCTGCATATTTATTGCAGACAGATAATTTTGGACCGACAACCTGCCCATTTGCCCTCAAATAGCAAAATTACACTGTTTAGTTAACTATTGGATTATTAATTTATTAAAAATTACGTTACTCAGCCAAAATAAAGACACGGTTTCCAACTTCAAAAAAAAAAAAAAAACACGGTTTCCTTTGTCAAATATGGATTAAAATTTTAAAATACAACTGGGACCCACACATTACCTTTGTCAATATATTTACCGGACAGCAGCAGGAAAGTGTGACTTTCACAATTATTTATGTGATTTTTGCCATTCCCATCAACCTTCCAATTTATAGCACATTACCAATTTTTTAACCCCTTCTCCTTCCTTCTTTTCTCAATTTCCTTTTCTTTTTTTTAATAAAAAATTGTTTATTTTCTCAATTTTCTCGCCGGTGCTGGTTTTTCAGTTGCTAGCCGAGACCTGCAAGCGTAAGTTCACAACCGTCTCATGATTTGACCGAGAAGGATCGGCCAGCCAACTCCCGCATTCAGAGTGATGGGCCATTGCTGCAGCAAAAACGTTTCCGTAGTCAACAATGACGCAACCTCCACCATCAACCGCTCCCAGCCGCAATCGATTCCGGCGCCGGCGACTCCATCCGTTGAGACCAACTCGTACTCCGTCAGTCCGTTCGCGAGTCCACTGCCCGCTGGAGTTCCACCGTCTCCATCACCTGCTAGGACCCCGGTGGGGAAGTTCAGGTGGCCTTTGCCGCCTCCGTCTCCTGCGAAACCGATCATGGCAGCAATCATGAGACGTAGAGGGTCGAACAAGGCCGCGCCGGTGGAAGGAACGATCCCCGAGGACGGTGAAGGAGCGGTTCTTGATAAGAATTTTGGGTACGGAAAGAACATAGGGGCTAAATTTGAGCTAGGAAAGGAGGTTGGGCGAGGGCATTTTGGTCATACTTGCTGGGCCAAGGGAAAGAAAGGAGAGCTCAAGGGACAGTCGGTGGCCGTTAAGATCATTTCTAAAGCTAAGGTGTGTCGTTTTTGGTATGTGCTTTGTTTTTCTTTTCTTTTTTTGTTTTAATTTTGTATTTTTTTTCTAAGTTCAGTAGTTCAGGTTATTATTAATTAGGAGGAAGAAATTAAAATTCTCACTATTAGAGTGTATTGACTCATCTGAAACCGCGCTTTGAGTCAAAGGAGAGTTCATTACAATGGTGAATATGATGAGAATAATATATTTGAGTTTGGGATCTTTGGAATTTGGATACATGAAAAAAAGTGGAAAGTGCCAAAAAAAAAAAAAAAAACCTCTGGTAGTTGACATTATTAACAAAGCTTTGGGAGGGGGTTTCCTCAAATGCACTTTTCAGATAGCATAAAGTCTAGTCTGAACTCTAAATCCGTTGATTGAAGTTGACAAACATAGTTTCATGGTTTTATATTTGACGAAATCGACATGCCGAGCTAGGAATAAACAAGATGGGATGCAATTAAGATTTCAAAAGACAGAAAAAGATAGAGAAGGTTTTTAGCAAGATAGTTCAATGTTGCTCCGTTAGTAATCAACAACTTGGGATTGGCTTACGTTTTGCTACATCTTTAATGACTTAACTCCACCCCTTAAGCCTTGTCCCTTAATGTCCAGAATGCATTGCTGGTATACCAATATTAGAAATTTTCTGTAGCCGTATCCCTTCTTTCTTGTACTTTTGTACTTGTAGTTTATTTTTAGATTAAATATACATAACTCAAGAGTGATTAATGGTTTTAAGAAGAATCAGAAATTGACTGGATGTTATTTTGGCAGATGACTACAGCAATATCAGTTGATGATGTTCGGCGTGAGGTCAAAATACTGAAAGCTTTATCTGGCCATGCGCACATGATCAAATTTCATGATGCTTTTGAGGATGCCAATAATGTGTATATTGTCATGGAGTACGTGTGTACTTGCTGTAGTTTAGTTTAAAATTACTTATTATTTATAGTAGTCCTTCCTCAACCTTCTAGTTATAATCTTTTTGCTGGCCAATCATGCATGTCTGATACCTTTTCATAGTTAAAGAGCAGATTCAAATGAAGCCTTTCTCCAGAATCGAATAATATGCATTATGCATATAAACTAAGCTAATTTTGTGGACCAGTTGGTCTAGGCTTGCCTTCTATATCAGCATGGAGTTAATAAGTTTGCTCCAAAGTAATTGCACTAAAATATTCTTTTCTTCTCAGATTATGTGAAGGTGGAGAACTACTTGACAGAATTTTATCTAGGTACTGAAGGATTACCTTCATCTCATGTGCTATCCAAGGCTATTCTTAATCTCATTGTTAAAATCATGCTTCATATTGTTCCTTCATTGCAGAGGTGGTAGATACACTGAAGGGGATGCTAAAAAGATAGTTGTGCAAATTTTAAGTGTAGTTGCTTTTTGTCATCTTCAAGGGGTTGTGCACCGTGATCTAAAGCCAGAGGTGCAGTATAGAGGAATATGATATTTTCTTTTTATTTTAGTTCTATGCTGCATTTTTTTGTTAATATTTGGCAGAGTGTTTTTTTTATTGGATCCAGTTCTAGTTATTAACCAATCATTTGCTTCAATGTGGTCACTTCTGCAGAATTTTCTTTTTACCACAAGAGATGAGGATGCTCCAATGAAAATTATTGATTTTGGTTTATCTGATTTTATTAGGCCAGGCAAGAGTTAATTGTCTATTAATATACTTTCATCAATTTTTGCATTCCATTTGTAAAATGTTGCTTGATGTAATAAAATCAAGTGCTCCAGTTATGATTCTATTTACACATTCTAACATCCTAATTGCTATGAACTTGCATACTTGTTGCTTTTTTTCTTCTGTGGTTGTATTCATTGCTATAATTTGTCATCCATTAAATAGCAAAATAATATTTTGTCAATTAACAATTTAAGTTTCTGAACCATACATTCCGATAGTACAGTTTGTCCTGAAGTATAACATCGCTAAAATTGACTCAATAAATTCCCCAGTTTCCTTGTATGTGAGTTTCATAAAAACTAATACTAGTTACATTAAAACTTTCAGTCATGTTCTTATAGGATGCATAAGAACACCATCAGATGAAGAGTGATAGGATAGTCTATAGTCATCCCAGATATAAGTGTCTCTGTCTGGTTCATTTTCTGGAATGTCTTCCTGAAATTATGGTGGTTATCTTGTTCCTTGTCAGAAATTTCCATTTCTTGTGTCCACCGGAAGAAGTAAAAACAGTTAGACTCTCTTTAACACCAGTCCTCTGGGGATGCAGTGAAGTGGTAGGTACCACATGCTGCATGAGTAATACAAGAACATATGTGCTACTAAGTACTACAAGCCTTTGCTCCAAATATGATCATCGTGACAGTGTGCCATGGTATTTTAGAGAGAGGCTTTAAGGACTGAAGTTTGGGTTACTGGAACCTTGATGTGGTGCAATTTGGTTGCAATCTTAATTAACTTATGATTTGAAATGATTTCTTGCTGCTGATTATGCAATTTGTGAATTGAATGCCATTCAGATGATATGCATTCATTGACATAATTGTCTGAATCATGTAATAAAAAATTCCCTTCCAAATCATATAATTTAGCAATCATTTGTTTGAAAACAAAACATTCAGTTTTCATGCGTTTGCAGATCGACGTCTCAATGATATTGTTGGCAGTGCATATTATGTTGCACCGGAAGTACTGCATAGATCTTACAGTGTTGAAGCTGATATGTGGAGTATTGGTGTCATAACTTATATATTGTTGTGTGGAAGCAGACCTTTCTGGGCTAGAACCGAATCAGGAATTTTTCGTTCTGTTCTCAGAGCTGATCCTAACTTTGATGATTCACCTTGGCCTTCTGTATCACCAGAAGCCAAAGATTTTGTGAAAAGGCTTCTGAACAAGGATCACAGGAAAAGAATGACAGCTGCCCAAGCTTTAAGTAAGTCATATTTTTTAATGCTATATAAATATTAGGTTATGAATACGCATATAAGCAGCTTATGGAATTTATGCTTTCTCTCCCTCTCTTTCTTATGCTATAAAATATTGCTGATGAAATTATGTACAATTTTGAAAGCTAATAAACACCTCTGTATTGTCAGCTCACCCATGGTTACGAGATGAAAACTGTGCTGTGCCTTTGGATATTTTGATCTACAAGTTAGTCAAGTCATATAATCGTGCCACACCTTTCAAACAAGCAGCACAAAAGGTAGTTTCCTGGTTCCTGTCATTAATAAAAGGACAAATTAGAGGTAACCCTTCTCCATTCCCACCAGAGAGAGAGGGAGAGAGACCAAACTGGGAAGTTAAAATAGTAACTGAAAAGGAAAAAAGTTCCAATCAACAACAGAGCTTCTGCCTTTTTTTAATAGGGAGGCTTCCTTATTTTTGGCATCAACTGACTAGTGGCACATGTTTCTCCTACCTTTTGGGGCAAGGTAGCCCACCCTTTGATAATATGGTTGTAGAACGTTTCCTCTATAGTATTCTTTCTGATATTTTACCATTGCTTCGTTTTGATGGTTGCAGGCACTTTCGAAAGCTTTACCAGATGATGCACTTGTATATCTTACGGCACAGTTTAGGCTTTTGGAACCAAAAGATGAATGTGTGTCCCTCAGTAATTTTAAAGCGGTTAGTTATTGGTTTTATTAGTTCTTGTTTCTTTCTAAATCTCACTGGCTTTTGAGACCTCTATGTTTGAGGAAAGGTGTGTCTACTATCAGACTTGCCTTAGCATCGGATTAGTTTTAAACTTTTTGCTATCTATTCAATCAGTCCATTGTTAACTTGTTTTATTATTTATCATCTCCTATTTGCAGTAATTTTCTCATGATCATTATTTTGAAAAACTGCAGGCTCTAATGAGGAATGTAACTGATGCCATGCACGAGTCAAGAGTTCTTGACATTATAAATGTGGTGAGATATCTTGAATTACATTCCGGTGGCACATAAATTGTTTGTTTTGGAGTGAATAGCACAGCTTATGTTAAAAGAATTTAGCATGGTTCTAGCAATGCTCATTTTTCATCCTTAAAGATTATATTATGATTATGGTACACAAGTTTTGTGACCTGTGAATAATAGGATTTTGATATATAATTAGCGTATTTCCTCAATAGCAGTGTAAAATGAAACCTAAGAGGAAATTCTTTTTACTTTCTTTGGGAGCTCTGGCAGCAAGGCTGTTCATGCATAATATTGATTCCTAGAAGGCTAGAACTTACTTTTACATATGATATCTCAGGGGCATTGGGACTTTTTCTTTTTTAATTTTCTAATGTAATTAATGCTAACAATTTAAATTTTATTTCAAGATGGAACCACTGTATTATAAAAAGATGGACTTTGAAGAGTTCTGCGCTGCTGCAATCAGTACATATCAGCTTGAGGCATTTGAAGATTGGGAGAGTATTGCAAGCGCAGCCTTTGAGTATTTTGAAGAAGAAGGAAACAAGGTCATTTCAGTGGAGGAATTGGCACTGGTACGTGCATCTGTTTCCTTAGAAATGAAGTATTCCCTTTGGTCAAGTTCACTTGAATTTTATTATTATTTTTGTTGCAGGAATTAAATCTAGGCCCTTCATCTCATTCTTTGCTTAATGATTGGATAAGAACTTCAGATGGAAAACTGAACCTCCTAGGGTATATGAAATTTTTACATGGTGTAACAATTCGTGCTTCTAATGCAAGACGGCGGTAGCGCATAAAACCAGGGACATTGGATTTTTTTTCGTAGATTTAACCTAAAAAATGTTGATATTCTTTTATCATGAATGGAGAATAAAGGTTTTATAGGGATATAGATGAATGTCTAGGCAGAAAATCATGTAGACTTGAGTCTAAACAATTCGGATCACGTACTGTTTTCATGAATTTCATTTCTAACGTGTGTGCATGATCCTTTAGTGGTAAGTCAATATCTTTTCTGCAAGCTTTCATTTGTAGGAAGTAGGAATCGATGCTTGATATTGGCAAGCTTCAGTCAAAATAACTTTACGTGTCTCTTTGCAGAGAAAAAGGAGAAAATTAAAAAGAGAGACAATACTATTAATATATATATATATATATATATATATATATATATATTAATAAACGAGACAGATAAAACAAGATATTGTAAATGTTAGAATTTTAAATGATTGAATATTATTTTTAATCATAATTATATAAATTAATTGAATAAATTTTGAATTTGTACTTAGAATGGAGGCAGGTGTGATACTTCTGAAGTCAAGAATATATCTGGCTAATATAAATCATTGGTATCTTCAGGTCAGACATAAACTTTAGTTCTTTTATTCTTAAGGCAAACATAAAGGTGGATGTCTCTTCGGAAAAGGTTTATATTCGACGTAAAAAAAAATTATGAATCTGTCTTTTCATGCCAATAAATCCCTCTAATCTATATAATAATATTAATAATAACTACAACTTTGGGTGTGATGAAATTGGATATTATTATTCATTATATTTTTAAATTATTTTTTAAAATAATTAATATTTTTATTATTATTTTATCTAATAAAAATGATTAATAAATTTTATCAACTTGAATATATTCGGACATAAACCAATATATTTGATTAAGTTAATCAACTTTATCAAATTACCGATATTGTTTCAAGCTTTTCACTAATAATATTAATTAATGTATATATTAGTTAAATTTCATTGTTTTGAGATTCATATTGGAAAGCAAGTTACACAACTACTATGATAAAAAAATTAAAATAAAATTAGAATAAAAATAGATAATAATTGGAAAGTATATCTTATATAAATCATATTTTTAAAAAAATTGGAAAGTATATCTCATATAAATATATAAAAGCTAAAAACTCTAATAAAAAAAATTTAATGTGGGTAGTCTATATTTTTGATATATGAACAATCTAAATAATTGACATTTGTTTAGAATTAATTATGCATTTAAAATTTAAAATTTAAAATTTAATTATAAAATAAATTTAGTTTAAAATATCTTATTTCTATTATTATAAAACACATTTAATGATTCTTATTAACATTTATTTTTAAATGACTAATTGACTAAAATAAATTAAGAACAAAATCAAGAGTAATAGTATTTTAAATTAAAAGTAATTTATACTTGACAATTAAAATAGCCAAGTTTAATGTGTATTCAATGTGCTTGGAACAAATGAGAAATTTTTTTTTTTGAAATTAATGTAATAATAAAAATTAAATTAATTTGATTTGACATACTAAAAATAATTTTAATTGATTTGATAATCTATTAATCATTTTAAAATTAATATATTATATATATAGCTTAAAATGTGTAACCAATAGATCATATTTTTAAAAAATTGAAAAGTATATTTTTTAATAAATATAATTCAAGAGTTAAATATTTATAATGGAAAAAGAGACATGAAATTAATTTATTTATTAATAATGGAAATCAAAATTTTAATACATTTCATATGAATTTAATGAAAGTGATTTAAGGTAAATAATAAAAAAATAAATGTAGTCAATTTAGTTTTTTAAATCATTTTTTAAATTAAAAATATATAAAATAAAATAAAATATATTTATTAGGGGAAACATGGTATTTTTTTTAAACTATAAAACTATTCACATTGAACGTTTTCCTTTTTTGCCAATGACTATGTCTTTTATATATTTAAATAAATAATGAAATTAATTTAAATTTAAATTATTATTAGAAAATTAAATTTCAATTTTATATATTGTCTTTCTAATATTACAATACTATATTAAATGGATGACTTTCTATCACGTGAGAAAAGAATTTAAATTGCTTCCAATTAATTAATCCATATAAAAAATATATTTAAAAAACTTATTACTTGTCAACTTTTTGATATTTGAATAAAAACTTATAATATTTGGAAACTATATAATCATTTAAATAGTTAATATATTTTTTATAAAAATAATTTATTAATTTCATCACTTTGTTTAAACAAATTTCATACACTGTTAAATTAGTACTATATATATTGATTTGATTTTTATTTTATACAGTTTTTTGTATTTATAATTTAGCATAAAATATAATCTAAAAATAATGAACAACTGCTTTAATTATCTTATCCATATCTCATATAAATATATAAAATTCAAAATCTCTAACAAAAAAAAAATCTAATATAAATAGTTTATACTTTCGACATGTGAACAATATAAAAAATTGATATGTGATCAGAATTAATTATGCATTTCAAATTTAAAATTTAATGATAAAATAAATTTAATTTAAAATATTTTATTTCCATTATTATAAAATATATTTAGTAATTCTTATTAACATTTATTTTTAAATGATTAATTGACTAAAATCAATTAAGAATAAAATCAAGAGTAATAGTATTTTAAATTAAGAATAATTTATGCTTGACATTTAGAAAAGTCAAGTTCAATGTGTATTCAATGCGCCTTGGAAGAAATGAGAAAAAAAAGATTTAGAAATTAATGTAATAATGATAATAAAATTAATTGATTTGACATACTAAAATTAATTTTAATTGATTTGATCATCTATTAATCATTTTTAAATCAATATTATATATATGTATAGCTTAAAAAGTGAAGCCAATAGATCATTTTTTTTTTTAAAAATGGAGAGTATAACTTATATAAATATATAAGAACCAAAGTCTTTAACAAAAAGGAAATAATTTGAGGTAAATAGTCTATATTTTTAACATATAGACAATCTAAAAAATTAATATTTGTTCATACTTAATTGTGCATTTCAAATTTAAAATTTAGAATTTAATTTTAAAATAAATTTAATTTAAAATATCTTAATTTTATTATTATAAATCACATTTAATTATTTTTACAAACATTTATTTTTAAATGACTAATTAACTAAAATAAATTAAGAATCAAATCAAAAGTAATAGTATTTTAAATTAAGAGTAATTTATGCTTGATAATTAGAATAGTCAAGTTCAATGTGTAATGAATGTGCTTGGAAGAAATGAGAAAAAAAATATTTTGAAATTAATGTCGTAATGATAATAAAAATAATTTATTTGACATACTAAAATTAATTTTAATTGATTAAATTATTTATTTATCATTTTAAAATCAATATATATATATGTATGTATAGCTTAAAAGGTGGAGTCAATAGATCATATTTTTAAAAAAATTGAAAAGTATATTTTTTAATAATATAATTTAAGAGTTAAATATTTATAATGAAAAAAAGAGACATATTTATTAATAATGGCAATCAAAATTTTAATACCTTTCATATGAAATTAATGAAAGTGATTTAAGGTAAATAATAAAAGAATAAATGTAGTCAATTTAATTTTTTAAATTAAAAATATATCAAATAAAATAAAATACATTTATTAGAGGAAACATGGTATTTTTTAAACTGTTTACATGACAATAATATAAATGATTCATATTGGACACTTTTTTTTTTTGCCAAAGACTATGTCTTTTATATATTTAAATAAAATAATGCAATTAATTTAAATTTTAATTATTATAGGAAAATTAAAATTTAATTTTATATATTATCTTTCTAATATTACAATACTACAATAAATGGAGAACTTTCTACCACGTTAGAAAAAAAATTTAAATTACTTCCAATTAATTAATCCATATAAAAAACATATTTAAAAAATTTATTACTTGTCAATTATTTGATATTCAAATAAAAGTTTATAATATTTGGAAACTATATAATCGTTTAAACAATTAATATATTTTTTTATAAAAATAATTTATTAATTTCATTACTTTCTTTAGATAAATTTCTTCCACTGTTAAATTAATACCACCTAACATTGACATGATTTTTATATTACACAATCTTTTGTATTTATAGTTTAGCATCAAGTATAATCTAAAAATAACCGATACGCAATGATTATTGGTAGAATGTTGAACTTTTAGTTTCAATGATTATGGTTTTAATTCTAATAATCTCAAATAATAAAAAAATATAATCTAAAAATATCTGTCAAAATGCATGTACATGGAAATAGGAAAAAGTAGTTAATGAGCAACTATGAGCTTTCTAATAAAATTTTTTAAATTGATTATTTAATGGTTATTTGACATATATAAATATGTTGATTGCAATCAAATTATTAAGTTTTTAATATATAAACACAAAATTTAAAATTAATTTTAACATATATTTCTTAGATTAAAAACTTTTTAGTGTCTTTTGTTTGATAAATACGTAAAAAATTAAAATAACTTATTTTATGATAATTGATTGTTCAATTAAAAAACACTATTATTATGTTTGTAGAGGTAAATTGAAGAAAGTGAATTTAGATTTTATTTGTTATATAAATTATAAGAATAAAATGTATGTAGTATTCACAAATTAATAAATTTTAATATGCTTATTGATTTAATTTGAAAGATAAAAAAAGATGAATTTCAAATTCATAAATACGTATAAATATTTAAACTCACTATTAAATAGACATCCAACAAATCTTTAAATTTAAAAATAATTATAAAATAATGTTTATAGTTATGTGTGCTTTATCAAAAAATAAAAATAAAATATGCTCTCCAATTTTAAGTATAATAATTTATGAAGACTTTTTTATACTTTGATTTCATATTGAAATAACTATAACATATAAATTTAGAATTAAAAAAAAAATTTTTTTTGGAGACCTAATTAATTAAAATAATTTTATAAAAATTAAAAATTTCTTGCATTGCATGGGTAAAAAACTAGTATGAATATATATTCGTATTCACTAAAGTAAATGAAATTAAATTTATATATCAATATAAAATTTAGAAGTTTCAATCCAAAAAATTTTATACTATTTACTGTCATCATTATCTAAGTAATCTACAATATTTATCAGTACTGAAAGTTTGAATTTAACAAATTTTATATTACTTAATATCATGACTATTATAAACATTACATTACTTGAAATTGTGAAACATTTTATGTATTATTAGTATTATATATAAAAGACATTCATATCTAAGTAAACAATTAGTTCACTGTATATAGACAATATTAATCATTATATTTTTAATAAAATAATAATATAAA